TGCTTTACTTGAGTGGTTCCCTCGTGTGTTGTTTGCAAAGCTTCCCATATTTCCTTGGCGGATTGACAAGCTAAGATCCTATTGTATTCATCAGGTCCTATGCCACACATCAAAATTTTCTTGGCACGAAAGTTTTTCTCCACAACTTTCCTATCTTCATCGTTGTATTCCTTCCTGGTTTTTGGTGTCGTCACTGAAGGGTCTCTGACCTTCTTTGTTGGGATATAAGGACCATCACATATAACATCTCACAACTCAGAATCTTCTGCCATGATAAAATCATGCATTCTTGTCTTCCACCACCCATAGTATTGCCCATTGAACCTGGATGGTCTATACGTAGACTAATCTTCTTCAAAATTTGGTGGAGTAGCCATGAGGATCCTTTCTACGTGTTAACCTGATAGAAAGAACCTGCTCTAATTCCAATTGATAGAATATATGAGTCCACCAAATTATATATAAACCAGGTCCTCTATTAGTTTTCACTGAGAATGCTAATGAAACAGTAGGTAAATAGAACATGGAGTTTTTACGTGGAAAAATCCTTGCTCAACGGGATAAAAAACTACGACCTACACTGGTAGGATTTCAATTTCACTATGAGTAACTTTAAACTACAACCTATGCAATCTAGGAATTAAACTCTTAATCCCGCACTAACTTGTAATACACCTATTACAAGTCACTTTGCAATACACCTATTACAAATACTTCAACTCATGACTAACTCTAGTCATGACACAAACATTAAAGGTTTATGGATTACAAGGGGTTCCTAAGTAACGCTTCTAGATAAGCAAAGTAGAAATTACAATGAAGAACAATTACAAAGTTACAACTCTACTAAGGACATACAAGATATTTGATATAAGAACTGGTCCGTAGTAGTGTTAAACTCTGTTCTTGATGCACTTGAGAATTGAATGCTTGATTGTTAGATGCTTGAATGAATTCTCAAATGTTCAAGTAATGTTTTGCTGCAATGTTTTATGTTAATACAACATGGATGACATCACTTGAATGATGTAATAACTTGGTAGGTCAAATGAGAAGTGACTGCAAAACTGTATTGCACTGTTTCTGTGTACAGTGCATGTAGTCACTTTCCAGCTGTAGATAGTTGACTTCGTACTATTGTCAGGGAAACACAAGGGTATCATGTCCCTGTGTTGATTCTCTATCTTCTGAAGTCACAGCAACTCATATTAGCTGAAGTCCGTTGGTTTGAGTTGTGTACCAAGTGTGTCAGGTTCCTTATCTGATTCTTTGACAGTAAGTTTGTTATATCATCAAAACATTAAGCTAAGGTACTGTAAACCCATCAGGGGTTTAACCAGACTTACTTAAGGAACACAAATCGTTATGGATACAAGCTAACATAGAAGGCAGAAAAATTATGGACCCTAGCACCTGTACTGGCACTCCTAGTGGATCTGGGGGGTTCTAATTTTTTACAACAGCAGCTTGACCCTGCTTCTGGTACTGTTTTACGCCCCTATAACAAATATAGAGATAGTGAGAACTTAGCAAAAATTGTGGTTGTTTGTGGCTTACTTTTTACTTTTCCTTCTCACCCTGCTTTTGTGCATTATATACAAGAAACTTATAATCCTGTTTTTCAAGGATTTTCTAAGACCACAGTTAGAAATGATGTTTTTAAATTTCAAACCGAATATCTTCAGTGTATTCGTTGTGTATTTTTCACTTAGATTGTAAAGTGTCTCTCACATCTGATATAGGTTGTAGTCCTAATAGTTGTGATTATTTAACTGTTACATGTCATTGGGTTGATCATCACTAGAACATGCAAAAATGTATTATTGGTTATAAATTTGTAGATTCAAAACATATTGGAGCATATATTGCAACTATTGTTCTACAAATACTTGATTTTTATGGACTCATTGATAAAATTTTAACTATCACCTTAGATAATGTTTCTGCTAACACAATCTCAACTACTAGCTTAAAAACTAGACTTTGTCCAATTAATCCAGTAATTTTTCATGTTAGATGTGCATGACATATTTTTAACTTGGTTATAAAAGATGGTATTAATTTATTTTCTGATGCTTGTAGTAAAATACAACATGCTTGCGGCTATATTTTTCGTGCTAATAAAGCGAGTAGAATTCGTGAATTTGCTCAACAATGTGCTAGTGCTAACCTTCCATATAGAAAAGTTCCAAAAGATATTTGTACTAGGTGGAATTCTACTTATGAAATGCTTAAAGTTGCTTATGATTATCGGGTGCCTATACAAAAGGTATTTAATATGCATAATGGTATCCTTGCTGATCAAATTGTTGATTCTGATTGGGATGAGATCAAAGGGCTTACTAAATTTTTAGAAAATTTTTATTATGCTACAAAATAATTTTTTGGGTATATATTATCCTACTGTTACACAAATATTATGGTATATTTATGAAAATTCTGTTGTATATGGTAAGTATAAAACAAATCCAACTTATGCACCTGCCATTAATGAAATAATTTTAAATTTTAAAAAGTATTTATTCACTATTCCCCAAGTTTATTTAATTTCTACTCTACTTAACTCATCTTTAAAACTAAGAGGTGCAAAGGGACTTGTTCGTAAAATTTATGAGAATTTAGCAATTCAAGAAAATGAACAACCATCTCTCGAAGACTGCCAAGCTAGTATATATTCTTATGCTAGATCAATGTTTGATAAATATAAATCTATGGAAACAACATGTGGTGAAACTGCTCCTTCTACTTCTAAATCTAGAGCAGAAGTTTTATGGAAGATATGGATGATATAACAGGATTTGATTCCTCGATCTATTGATGATGAACTTGATTCTTATCTTAATTAAGGATTGGAAAGTATTAAAGATGAAGTAGGCAACGAACAACTTTTGGTATGGTGGAGGGAGCATGGCAAAGCTTTTCCAATACCTTCAATAATGGCCCGAGATATCCTTGCTATTCAAGCATCATCAGTAGCATCGGAGAGTGCTTTTAGCGCGACAAGTTTTCAAATTGGAGATCATAGACATTCATTAGCGGAGGATAGTCTAGAGATTTCCGTATTATTCAGAGTTTGGATTCATTCAGAAAGAAGAAATCTTGGTTTTGAAAAATTTACCACTAGGGAAGAAGAAGAAGAATACAATGAGATACTTAGCACTGGGAGCGATGACGGCATGGAGCTCATGGAACATCAATCAACATTGCCAATTCCAGAACAATGTCCAAGAGAAATTATATATAAGTTACAAAGAAGCTATATAGGAGCTTACAAATATTAGTATGATAATTTGTAATTGGCTACTAAGAGGCCTAGTTCAAACAGAACCCTTCCTAGAAGGTGGTTGCGTAGATTATGTGCTCTTCAAAAGAATTATATTTGTATGTGAGATTTGAAAGTTCTATTAATAAAATAAAAGGCACTAAGCGTTGAATTTTTTTTATGAATTGTCTTAGTTACTTAATAGTTTGAAATTATATTAAATAAATTATAACTCTATTATAATTACTAGAATATTTCATTACAAGTCTTTTGTTTTAATATTTTATAATTATTTACTTAGTTTTCTAATTTCCGTTTTAACATTTAAGTTTATTAAATAAGTCGAAAAACTAGTCGTTGCAAACTTTAAAAACTTAGTCATTGTCAAAAAACTAGACGTTGCCAAACTTAATGCTTAAATAATTTTTTTTAAACGACCCTTAAGGCCCGTGAACCCGTCTCGTCCCGTCCCGTCCCGTTTGTTAGCGGGACGGGATGGGCCTATTGTTTCATCCCGTTTGTCCTGACCCGTTTCGTCCCATTCCGCCACCGTCCCGGCTAAATGTCGTCCCGTTCCATTAATTTTGTCTCATCCCGTCTCGTCTCGTCCCTCCTGTCCCGTCCCGTTGGACAGCCATAGAGTGAAGTGGGATTTTGAACTGAGAGGCCATTGTTATCATAAGAGTCTCGTACATCGCAATTGACAAATTAATGCGACTTATATGTCTGCAATTGACAAATTAATGCGACTTATATGTCTGCAATTGACTAATAAGAGTTATACATCGCAATTGACAAACAACACTTACAAGTCGCAATTGACAAACAACACTTACAAGTCGCAATTGACAAACGAGACTTACAAGTCGCAATTGACTAATACGAGTCTACCTCTTCCTACAAAACCAACCCTTGAAGTTTGAACAATATAACTTTTCCCCTCTTAATTTATCTCCTCCCTTTATCCCTCAATATACCTATTTCGCAGTCTAAATTATCAGTCTATCTCAGTTTATTTCTTTTTAATATTATGATATTTTTTTTCTTTTAAGCTATATTATAATCTCACCTATAGACTTCATAAATCTTATTTATGACTAAACAATATTGTAAAGCATTTCTATTTTTGGAATGAAAGAAAAAACGTGAAAAAGAATAAAAACTTTTTAAACATATATTAAAACTATATAATAAATACATTAGTGATTCTCTATTAAGGTGTGTATATATATATATATACACACACACCTTAATATTAAAAGAACAGTCATACAAGATATGGTATATTTTATTTTAAAAAATTGACAAAATTAAAGGATATTCTACTTATACTTTACATGAACTTAAGTACAATTTATATTACTTAATATAGCCAAAGAAGCTAGGTGAAAGGATAAATATCACCTATAATAATAATAATAATAATAATAATATATTTCTATATATTATTTTGGTAGAATTTGTGTAACTTATCTTCTTTTTTTCCCCTTCTTATTATTGCATTTAGTGAAAATTATAACGACACTGACAAAAAAACACAGTAAGACCTCTTGAATGGATATTAAAAAATATTTTTTAAGAAAACAAAAAGAATCCATAGACTTTTTCTTTTCTTATGGAGTATAAGTTATAACATCATTAAAATAAAACATTTACTTCATTTTAGAACCATATTTTATTATTTATATTCATCTACATGCCACAGGTAGCAACACATAGATTGGTACACAGATAATGAAAGAGAACAATACGCGTGCTGGTGTTGCTTAGAAATTATGAAGGTATTAAACATAGCACACAATATAAAAAGGCAATCCGGTGTACAAAACATCCCGCATTCGTGTAGGGTTCGAGGAAGAGTCGTATTCTAAGGGGTGTAATGTAGACAGTCTGTCGTAATGCAAGTATTAGTTGCTGCTTCCCTTGCTTAAACTCGTGACCTATAGGTCACACAGAGACACACACGCAATCTACATATAAAATGCCACACCCTCCTTTAGCTGCCCTTCAAAGAATCCAAAAGCAAAATTATCAATAAGTCTAGATTTATACAACTGAAAATAAGACAGATTATGAATCAGTCCCCATTTCCTAAAGTTTATGACTGCTCAAGAAAATACAGCTAAACTCTCACACGAATGAATTCTAAAGAGATATTTGCAAGTATAATGAACATAACAACTAAATCAGATAAGGATGAAACACTGGCATTTGAAACAACAACAATAACAAATGCAGTTTAATCCCATAAATCGGGTCTGGGAAAGATAGTATGTACGCAGCCTTTGAGAGGTTGTTTCCACTAGACCCTCGGCTCAGGAGAAACATAGTCACAACATTCGTTGAAAAGAAAATAATAGTAGTATATAAACCATGGATAGGAAACAATAACATGAAATAGTACCAACAAAAGCAAGATAACAAGAAAACCTGCTGAAACACATGATCATAAAGAGTCTCACTATGATCATAATTAAACTGTCCACATTGATAATCTATCAAGAGGTAAACATTGGAATTTCCCATTTGAAACAACAATGTAAGCAACAGCATTGTTGGAAGAACTAGATCAAATCAGAAAACAAAAGAACAGCAAAAGGAAAAAAAACACATTGTTGTATTCACTGGCTACTTGAACCTAAGCATTGTAAGAATCAAAATGCAAACACTTTGTCCAAATTTTCTAAAGAACATATAACATTTGGTTGTGAGCCTACAACTCAATACTTACGCCGATTTCTATCTGGAAAAACCTTTTGAAATCCCACCCGTTCACTTTTTATCCTTCATTTTCTTCTCAATTATCCATAGCTAGAACAGTTACACTTTCTTGTTATCACCATGCTTCTGATCCTTATTCAATTTTTCCTCGTCGCCTTTGGCTCCTTCAAATCTTCAATCTTGGAATCAGGCAAATCCTCATAAACAGGCAATGCCAATGAATCCGAAAACTTCAAATGAAAAGCTCTAACACCACCCAATTTCTTTGGAACAAACTCAACAATTCCTTCAATAGCAGCCAAAACATTCTCCATAACTTCACCACTCTCCATCCCTCCCCTCCCAACCTTCAAAACACTACACGTCCCACTCCCTAAACACAACAAACTCGACGCGCAGGCTCTTTCTATCTCCTCTTTCCAACTACTATTCCCCCTCAAATCTACTGGCACAGGTACCTTCCTCTTCTTCTTGTAAAATTGCTTCCCTAATAAAACAGGAAGCAAGTGTACCACTCTTTTATCAGTCAAAAACAGTTCATATGAACCATACAACTCCCTTTTTGCCTCAAAAGACTTGTACTCAGCCTTCAACTTTGAAAATTTCAAAACTTTAGTTATTGGTATTCCTTCAGCTTTTATCTTCTTTTGCACTGTTTCAACATCAAGTTTGGATTTTGACATATGGGGTTTGTTCTTTTGCATTGTTTCAGCATAAAGATTGGATTTTGAGTTAAGGGGTTTTTTGGGTCTGTCATCAATAATGAGACAAATATCGGAAAAAGATTCAAGGGGGTGAAAAAGGGGGTGGGGGAGGGGGAT